TATATAAAGAAATGTTTGTTACGATAATAGAATGTAGAATGTAGGCCCTATTAGTAATACATTTATTATAATTAAACTCGTTCATAAGATACTAACCACATTATTAATTTGATAGACCTAATATTTCAATGCTGTATTTAACGGGATGATCAATAATTCCTTTTAAATGATGATGATGACGTTTTCATTTATTAGGCGATAAAGGAGACACAGGACCCAAGGGACCCCAGGGTGAAAGGGGGCCGAAAGGTAAGCACAGTGACACAACAATTGTTTATAAACCCTCTTTGGGCAACATTTATTAATGGACATTAATTAAACTGTGATAAGATAATAGGCCTATATAGTCTATTCTATTTTTATGAACTAAACATGTTGACATGGGCTTGTTTAGCCAAGAGAACTGCATTTCTATTACTCTTTGATATAATTCCAAATATACAAACAATTATACACAATAGTCTGTAAAATATTCATCACCATATAAATTTGAGAATTCAATGCTGCATTTATTATTTTTTCTAAAGGCAAACAAGGTGACCAAGGACCAAAAGGTAATAATCTTCTGTTGTGTTTACTACAATATGTTTTTTTTTTATTGAATCAATGTCTTAAAATGTTTATATTGAAATTTAGTCAACATTTGCAAAACAATTGCCGCCAGATATTTCCTATGTTTATGCCATTTGTCAATCTCCACGTAGCTTTAATGAATAAATGAGAGGCCATTTGCTTAATATTATGAATTTTCTTTAATTGATATATTTTTTTTAGGGCCTCAAGGTATTCGTGGTGAGAAAGGTCCACAGGGTTCTACGGGAGCTCCAGGTAAGCCTAGGCTGTACTGTTTGACGTCTTTCTATAGCGCCTTGCACTAAATCACTAAACTTGAAATTACACTGACCAATAAAGAATAAAGCTCGTTCACACCAAGCCCGGTTTCTGTACCGCCGTCCCGGTTCCCGAGCCCAGTCACGATTTCCGGTCGTTCCGTTCACACCCTCTGTCCGGCTCACGAAAATCGGTTAGCCGGGGTAAAGTCTGAAGCAGACAAGTGTCTATGTTGTTATGCCATGGTGTTTAGAAATAGGGGAAGGGGTGGGGCGTAACCCATTTAAAACCAACAGAGAAACCTTATTACATAATAATGATGATGATGATGATGATGATGATGATAATGATGATGATGATGATAATGATAATGATAATAATAATAATAATAATAATAAGTGACATTAATAAAGCGCTCTACGCCTGGCAAACCAACCCAAGAGTGCATACAATAAATCATATTTAAACAATTCAATACCGTTAAAATAATAACAGAAATTCATCCTACAATACAAAAAACATTTCAACAAAATGTATCATTCAATATACAATAATAACTCACCAAATAAATAAAGCCTAGTTACAATTAATTACAATTGGTTAGATCACTAAATGAAGCGGTCGCGAAATCTAACAGTTATATCTCAGTCTTTGTTGAGGTGGCGCGTTTCCGTCCTCATGGCGTTTTTACTGTTAAAATTGAATAATTAAAAATTCATCTCTTATTCTTAAACACCTGAAGAGTTACTTGTAGATCCGCTCATTAAATTGACCAATATTTTTACAGGATGTTTAGTTACACCTGTGTAAACTCACATTAAGGATTGTACAGTAGTATACAAATTTTGTTTATGCCCAATAACAGGAACTTAACAAATGGGGGTGATAACAATTGTCAGTCGTTCTTTCGCCCCCAGCTTGTACGCGTATTCGATGATAAGTTGTAATGAAAACACATATTTTCAACCTTGCTTATGGCAGGTGGTTAACCCGATAAGACCATGTTATTCAAAATAAGACTTAGTTTATTTTACCGGTCAACAAGGACAGTATCCGCTATTGTGAACAACAACATAGCAAAACAATTATGTACAGTTTATGATATGTTTGTAAGTCAACATGTTGTGTAATGTTCGAAGATAATTCATATTTTCTAATACTTTGTGTAACTATGTTTAGGACCTAAGGGAGATCGAGGCTATCCAGGCCCAGCCGGACCACCAGGTATGTTAAAACTAGACGTATAGGCCTATGGATGGGCATTTGTAAGTTATATTACATTCGATGTATTATGCTCGGGTTCATAATGCTCGAGCTAGCTATCAATATTCGGGTTATAGGCCTGGCTTGCATACCTACATTTTTTAATAAGTAAATTTAGACTTTAGCGGTTGGTATAAAAAAACAATTTTCATTTTTTTTTTTTAGGTGGTGGTCACTATTATTAGATGTCATTGCTCATATTATTTCGATGTTCTAACGATAACCAATCGAGAGGCTTTAAAAAATTCATATTTTCTGTCCTTATTTACTGATAGCATCATGACTATTGACCAATCAAAAGGTAGCATTATGGCTATTAACCAATCAACGGATAGCATTATATTGCCATTGACTAACCAATAGTTAACGTTGTTACAATTTCTAATAGTTTCTCGTCAGGTTAAATATAAGTTTTATCTATCTATGATTTCAATAAAGACAAATTGATTGATTGTAATATTTATTTTGTTGTGCCCTCTAAATACACGTCTACTATCATCATCGGCAAATAAGAAGACTTATATCTATTAAATTCATGCTTACGTCATTTATCATTTGAACTGAACTTCAGTAATCGAATTCATCATAGTAAATGTCGTCATTATTATCACCACCAACACTGCCACCACTAACACAATTGTGACTTCCATAATTACCGTCATCAATATTATCTCTTTTACTTACACCACTACCGACATTATAAACTCCACTATACATAGTCTCATCATTCCAACTAGGTATTATGGTAAAAGTGAGGTGACACTAGTTGGGCGAATGTAGGTGATATTCAGACACACTTTTAACCTCTTGTGTGTAATGTCAAATGGGGGATCCCTTTGAGGTCTTGTGTCCCCTTGCTTCAATAAAAACGCCACTGATCACTGTCGAAGACGTAAAAACAACAACATTATTGTTTACAAAACGAAAACAGTGTCTTGGAGGAGTGTTCAGATACTAATGATAATGGACCTTTCGGCTAAGAACCGCCTCCTAGATATTATTGCTAAAGCTGGCTTTCCACTAGGCGAATTTATTCGCGCGAATCAAAGCGTTGGTTCGCTTCCAGAGCTCTGACTGGTTGCGCATTTTTTTCTCTTCGCAAAAACTCTGATAGAAATGTGCGCATGTGCATGAACCGACGCTTTCGATTCGCGCGAATAAATTCGCCTAGTGGATTCCCACAAAACGACAATGTTAAAATATACGCAAACACGTACGTGCGTTTGCTGGGAAACATGAGCTTGGTAGACACGCGTATTCCTGTCCCTGTTTTGATTGGTTAAATTTGATTCAAACTCTGGAAAGGTCCGATGTTTGCAAACCGGTCAATCCCCTCAATAGGCATAAAGCTTGTAATACGGTCAACAGACTAATTCAACCGAGAAAATGATTTTAGAAGCCATGAGGATTATAGTCAAGTGCTACTCAATTAAGCCAAAATACTGCGCGTGGGCCCAAAAGACATTGACCGGGGAAAATCCGTAGATGATGGAAAACAAAGAATAGACCTTTCCTCTAAGCACCGCCCCTTTAATATTGTTGCTAAGGTTTTACAAAACAATTAACATTGTAAAAACATACGCAGACACGTGCGTTGTTGGGGACGACACGTTTGTCTTGTAAGACACACGCGTATTCCTGGTCATGTTCTGATTGGTCAGTTGTTAAATTTGATTGATCTTCTGGAAAGCTCCATTACAGAAAATAACTGAAGACAAGAAGACAATGAACGACATGAAAGAATATGCGTATTGTCATGACGATCGTTGGGTGTGTCTTTATAGTAATGCCTACGTTTGCACGCGTGTTTTTCGTATTCGTGCTGAGTGTGCACGCAAGTATAGGCCCTATTGGTGGTATAGTTCTCTAGGGTATATTTGAAATAGTTGTTCAATAAAAAAAATAAATAAATAAATAAAAATAACGAAATAAAAAAGAAAGGAAAAAAACATGTTAAAAAATCTCCAAGGATGGGCTTCGATTTTTGTTCATGCTCTGTCGTAAAACAATACAGAGAGAAACTGAACAGACAAAGAAGTGGAGCAATTAACGTCATAATAGAACAAACAGCATACATATTTTAATTGTATTTTTGTAATAAGTAAAATGCTAAGAGGTCATTTGGGAGTTCTTCCGAGGCTTTGGTCACTAATCTTGCAGACGACAATCGGTTGTGCCTCACGTTTACAGGAAAGTGTGATGTCATGTCGTATTAGTTCTCTTTGGAAATATTCTTTCGGAAATACTAACAACCATGTGATAATTACAAACAGTCGATCAGATCTACAGAGAATAGTTTAATTAAGTATACTAGTCCAAATTTTAATTTCATTTCTTTCAAAAAATTTATCATAATTGACTCGATTAGATCTTTTAAAAAGAGATGACAGCAAAATAAAAATCTACTCATATTTTCCTCCCTTCTTATATGGTTTCATTTGTGTTGCGTAAAAGTGAAACCGAGAAACAAGCAAGGAACACAAGAGAGACCGGGTCATCATTATGCTACTCATGTCACGTGGCTTTCGGCATAGTCACTTTATTGCTATATTTAGAATCGACATTCCCTCTTCATATTAGTCGATGCTTCCGATCCAGTTGTTAATGTCTTCCGTTAGCTTTAAAGATGCTGTCGTAAAATCTATTAAAAAACTTTCAAAAATGTGTTAAAAATTAATTAAAATCAATGGTCAAATAAGTCATTGGGGTTTTTTTTTTCTGATAAGGAAACCATAAAAATTGCTCAAGTCAATAAGGGTCCGTGGCAAATTTATAAGGACTTATTTAGGAGGACTGCGCGTCTGTTAACTTACGATTAAGAAATTTTCCTTTTTTTTTACACGTTTTGTTCCTAAGCTGCATTTACACTAGACACGATTACGACACGACAGCGACATAATCATCGCGTCGTTTGTATTCTTCAACACTGCGCGCATCTGTATTATGTCCTCGTCGTGACGTAATCGTGTCCAGTGTAAATGTAGCTTAAAATGGCAGCCCATGGTTCTGGCACAAACTGATTAATATCCCGGGTCTCCTAAGATCCATCCGGACCAATGGCTTCTGCAATTGAACTCAGGGGCTCGCCACTGAACATCAGACACTCGATCCCGACCTTGTAATTTCTCGGTTGAGAAAACCCGATCTCCATAATGTAGGTTACCGTATTATACAGGATAGAATTTTTATATTGATGAGGTAAATCATTGGTGATTTCTACAATGAAAAAGTTCATTAAACTTTTGGGGGAATGAAAGATAAGAATCATTTACGGAATAGGAATGGCGATCTGGCAGACGTGTTACGAATAGCCTCAATACAGATGTGCATGATTCCTGAATGTAGGACACGAGGTTTCTCGAATTAATTTGTTCCTTGCGATATAAGGCCTGAAAAAGACTGCTTAATCTGCTCAATTGGAATTTAATGCACCTTAGATTAAAATACACCTTTCAAAGGCGACGGTGCGGATTGAGCGTTGGTTCGGATTGAGCGTTGGTTGGGCCAGTTGAGTAGGCCAGTTGAGTAGGCCTACTTTGCGAGCTAGCAATATGGGGGCTGGTGGGCAGGGACTTTGCAGATAGATTAAAATGCACATTGAAAGTCTTTATTTCTGATTACTTGTGTGTTTTACCAATAAAGAGAGAGCAGCAGATCTCGAAATAACCTTTCCCCCTACGCTTAATAAAGAGGGGATGGGCACTCCGGACCTGGACATGCTTGTCTAACTTGACCTTGAACTTCGAGGGAGGAAGGAGAGAAAGTTCGACGCAAGAATTTAGCTCCAAAATTTGACTTAAGCGATGTAAGAAACTCAATGATTGATGGACAACCACTGGAATTCTAACACACAATTGTTAAGGCTGGCCGCACAGAAATATGGCAATGAAAAATATTGAAAGTTTATCCTCATAGTGATACCGCTTTCTTATTGGACAATTATATTCAACCAATGGCATAACAGGAACGAAGCTCGACCATAACTGTCTTAGCGAAACAAGTAGAAATAGTTTTATCCTTGATCGGATACGTATAGCGGCAGAGACAGGAAGGTTCCAGTCGCAGTGGGTTGTTTCTTGTCTCAACGACAGGTAAGCCTTTATTTTTTCACATTTATGTAAATATGGACCGACTTCTCATTACATAGAATCTTTATATAATTTAGTACAGAGTGCACAAACTAGATATTAATTCGTATTCACATAGGTTGTTTAATGGTTATCGATTTTCTATTAATTTTAAGGACGAAACATAATCATCGAGCACGTTAAAAAATATGTATGTATCTAGTACTGATACTGGTATGAGCATTGTATTGAGCCTTTTCCTTGCGGTAATAAAGCGCACGCAAATTCTAATAGCTCAGAGAAAAACACAAGGCAGTCTTAATACAGCATTAAACAGAAATCGCGAGTGCCACAACTGTATTGTCAAAACAATTAACAAGAAGCGAAACATGATAAATAATAATAATAATAATAATAATAATAATTACTAATAATAATAATAATAATAGAAGTAAGCCTTGCTTCTATTATACATACATTATTTCTTTAGCTTGTTCGATGATTATGCTAAAATAAATGTTTTAGCCAATTTTATCGAATTCATCAAGTTCCAATGCTATTTTTTAATACTTAAAATTGTAGCTTTAAGATACTTGAAGGCAAATCGCCCCTAAATGGCTAGGGCTGCCGTACGCTCTAGGGGTTAACTAATGAGTGAAAAAAAAACGACTGAACTATGGTCGGATGATAATTATCATGAGACTGTTTAAGTCCCTTTAATTTCAAGAACACGTAAAATGACGTTTCCGGAAATTCCTCTCAAATTTGTCGCCCGTGCAATTTCCAGAAAGTGGCGTTTATAAGTCAAGAGTCTAAAACAAGAACAGTATAATTTCCTCGTTCGATATGTGACTGGGATGTTTTTAATGATTTCATAAAAAATGTCACCCGCTCGAGGTGACATCATAATGAATTTCTAGCTCGTATTAATCCCTCTCCGCCTGCGGGAAAGATTTCGCTATTACGACTGATCGTAGTACAATGAGTGACTATATTCTCAATACTCCAAGGGCGTTATGATATTAATCAAATAAGTGTAATCATAGACATAAACCTATTTTTTTTTGGATGGCCTCCCAGATATTTTAAGCCCACTACGGACTATTATTTTAGGCGGTTAGTTCTTGCTGATTGAATGTTCGACATCATACGATGTTTTGTATTCTAAAATCTAGCATTCATTAAGACCATAATCGCCAACCTTATTTTAGATATAATAATATAGGCCTATATATATATTTTTGTTTTGGAAAAAATAGACTGATTTTTACATACCTAAGTTTACTGTTAGAATTAATGTGTACCCATTATTTTTAACGAATTGAATCTAATGTTCGATATCATCATTACTTTTCTCATAATCATTAAGACCATACTAATAATTGCCAATCGTTGTTTCATAGGCCTACTGTGTATTGCTACAATAACATAATTGCTACGTTATTTATGTATTATTTTATGTGACTTACCCTTACCGTATAGGCCTATATGGTGGTAATGATATCTAATGGTATTTTTTTTTATATTTCGAACATACTTATACAGGAAAAACATGATTCATCTGCAACCTGCTTTTATGGTCTGTTATAACTAACTTTCGTATTTATGAAATTACTATAAAAGATTCATACAAAAACGTTTGACTTGACAATAAATTTAAAATAGATGAGGATTAATATTTACCATGTCGACTTGTATATAGCTCCAAAATTTTTTTTAAAGTAAGTAAAATATAATATTTTGTAATAATGATGATGATAATGGGCTTAATAATAACAATAGTAATAATAATAGTAAAATAATAATAATGATAATAATAATAATAATTAGCCTGATAATAGTATGACGCAAATTGTTCTAGTCATAAATCAATACGTTATTAATAAATTATTGATAATTTGTAAAATGACGTCATCAATTAGTTACGTCATGTTTAAGCGCCATTAGACCAATGTCAGCTTAGTGCGATATAGTCAAAAATTAATAAATAAAAGTCTAAAAAACTATTAACAATTTTGAAAGTGATGAACGTTTTCACCTTTAATATCAGCTCGATCAAAACAATATTTGGAATTTATAAACATATGGGTTAGATATAGAGGCTGATATGGTTAAGCCCTAGCGTTAGCACAGATACTGCGTCTTACGCGATATTCCAGGCCAGTGCGTATTTTTAGGGAAGTTTCTCTTTTGTCAGACAGCAGTGAAGGCTCATAGGAATTTTATTTGTCAATCAAAATACACAGTGCGGAAATAATAGGATTACGTGAAACCAACTTGTTGCGCCTCGGGGACCTTGTTTATAAGTGTTTCTGCGCATGCTTTATTGCGCTGTTGTAATTTACCGATATCATAAATTATGAATCTTTGTTTCAGAGTTAGTAATCTGCGATCAGGTGCTCGAAGCATCTAAATTGAATTTTGATGACAGGACAATGTAGAGAGGTCAAAGTGCACTCTAATCATTAATAGTTGTAGTCTTCTCGTCGAAACAACTGTATTTCATATTTGCAAATTTTATGTAGATACAAATTCATAAATAGAAAAAGCTTATTGATGATATAGTGTACAAGACACAGTATCATTACACATCGATGTTTAATATATTATAGAAGTAGGCCCCTATTATTATTTTTTTTAATAAAATAAAATTCACAAGAAGAATGGCTGGTCCAGCAGTGACTAAGAGTAAAACAGAAAGGCTTTTAAACGGGGACTTCGAAATGATTCACTGAAACATAGCCATGTATAACAAACAACAACAGAAGGCCTTAACACTAAACTTCCTCTGTCAGTTTTCTACAAATATCTTTTTAGACTTTTGGTTATACCTACCAAGGCAACACACAACATTAAACACGGCTGTTTAGAGATTGAGAACGCTTGTAAAGGAAAGGCATGTTTGCTATTTAATGTGAATTCCCAAGGCACTGATCTGGATGTTGTTACAACAAATCTAGACATTTGTTCCGTCCGAGTCAACTTTAGTTCAGCAAAATGAAATCTTTTTGAAAGTTGTTTTGTTAGACCTATATATTTTTATTTGACTCGTTCCTTGTTCCCTTGGCTCGGATGGAGAGGAGGGAGTTGTACCATGCCAAACCCCTTAAATTTAGGCTTTGGGTTAGCTTGCAGACAGGATATTTTTATCAATTAATACTTTATACAACCCAGTTAAATTAATTATTTGGGTGCCAAGTTTTGAAAAAATATTTAAGTATTTACAGGCATAGAAAATAGTGGCAAATAATGGATGGGGAGTGTCGAGGTACAATTGACGTGTATCCCTTGATGGTGGTGGTGGGGGCGGGGGAGGGAGTGTTTAAGGTTCGGTTGAACTCAATTTTTTGACTAGTTCACTGCTGTAGTAGTACAGTATTTTACATTTTTTTTTATTACAGAACACTTGACTTCAACTTGGCCTATAGGAAACCCCTTCCCAATAAATCTGGTTATGGGCCTGCTCCCCTCCCCATTGCCTGTCATTCTGGCTCTAACATTGCAAATTCCTTATTAACAACCAGAAAAGCAAGAAATATTAATAAGATTCAAACATTATTTGTTCTCAATGTTTTCTATTTTTGATGTTGCCACCCCCGTTGCCTGATCGACCAGATTCCAAGAACTCGTATCAAATTTGTCTTTTTTGTGAATTAAACATCCATTTTGTCCAAAGTTATAGCGACGTTCAACGATGAAAGTAAATTGTATATGCATGTCATATTAATACATACTGTGCGAAAAATCGTTAGGAAATGAAATAATCACGCTAGGGATTTTCATTTCTGAAGGATGCAACATCAAATCCGATGATAGTAATAGTTGCCCAGATTATGTTTAAAGCCAGGCGCATAAAATGTAGGCCTACTTGTGTATGTGCACCGTATATTTTACGATCTGGTTCTTGTGGGTAAAGCGCAGGTATAGAACATCAAAAAGACGCTAAAAGTATAACAGGAGAGGTGAGGTGCATATTTCATGTTATAAAATTATAGGAATGATGTGCTATCGTACTGAATGCAGTAGGTTCCCAAACGCTTGCGAAAAAAAAAATATCGCAAGTGATTTGGGTTATGAATCGAACTCATGACCTCCAGAAACTAGCCTGGTGTCTTAACCACTAGACCACCGAGCTTGCGCGTGGTGGCTAGTGATGAATCCGACCCCGAATAGCAGCGGGTATGGCAATTCTATTCCGATACCGAAAAATAGCATTCAATTATTGTCCGTTTTATATTTATCATTTGAGTGATTCGTTATATCGATAACATATTCTTTAAATTCTAATTATACACGAATCAGCATTTTCTTTTGTGCAAACCTGATCTGTCGCTGATAAAATTAAGGTAAAGTCCTGTCAGACTATCAAATTTTATTTAACAAAAAAAAAAAAGTTGACATGCCTAAATATGGTCATGATGTGATCTATCATGACCACATATAGGCTTCTTTTTTTTTTCAAATACGACTTGATATCATACAGAAACATTAAGCTTTTAGGATTTAAATCACTACCGTACTGTACATAATTTTTATATGGATATGGAAATAATTAGATTAAACTCGATATTAAAGTTAGAATTTGAATCACTAATAGTCCTATTATTATTTAACACCCATTATATAATGTAATTAGCTTATACTCTCCGATTTTTATATATTTAAATATTTACTGTAGTAATATTTACTTTAATAAAGATAACTGAATTACATTTGTGTAGCATAATGGTAAATTTTTGATCTCTAATAGACACCCAGTGATTTCGTCAACCGATCTCGTCAATGACGGCCATTCATCTTCCCTGAAGACGGCTACTACAACATCCAACAATGCATTACAAGTTTTATGATTTAAATAGAGCTTGTCAACAAAATGAATTTTCAACTTTTGTACAAATAAAATTTATGAATTCTGTATGATGCTACACTGACCTTGAGATTCAACGAATGCTTAAGTAATGTATAAAAACAGAATAAATGTAATCTTGCAATGATGCGTTTGATCTTCATTTCCTGAATTCGAATTTCCCTTGAATTTATAGGATGAAGGGCAGTATGGCTGAAAAGAAAGTCAAGGTTAAGGATGGAAAAACGACTACATCAGAAGAAAATTTCGCTGCGCAACCGAAACGCGCGGTAACTTACCAGACGATATTTAACGTTCTCGTAGTGATATGTTTCGCATTGTTTATTTTAACTGTGGCGCTAGAATATCTAAAAATACGAGACAACATGATTGCCCATGAGAGGGATATTCAACACCTCAAGGATCAAATTAGTACGTCAGTATTAGAAAGGGTGAGTATAGGCCTACATTTGATAGAGAACCAAAAATCCATTTTTATTTCAAATTATGGCGTTTAACAATCAGTGGCTACAACTTAAAAATTCATAACTTTTGTGATCTGCAAATTCACTTTTTGTGGGCTTTCGAAATTGTTTCATCTGGATAAGCTCTTAATTACTGTACTGTACTGATAAGTATAATTAAAATATGGTCATTAATATGTATCACTACAGCATGATTTATTATTCATATTTTGCCACCTAAAAACCTCGAACGGCCCATTACGCGAAGCCCCATCCCTTTTGCTGTTGCTAAGATAATCCAAAGTTGATAGCGTGCGTACGTTTGGACAACACGACTCATGTGTTTCTATTGACTATGGTTTGTGAGAGAAGAGTCCTGTTCTGATTGGTCAGTTGCTAAGGTCAATTAAAACTCCGAAAAGGTCAGCTTTCTAGTAGGCCTACAGTATTAGTACATTCTTAAACATTCGCCAGCAAATTCCATAATTTCAATAGTAAACATCAGTAAATAAATAATAAATCTTGGATTTACAGAATGTTGATAATTGATGTGATTCTTTTAAAAGTACAGTAATTGATTTTTTTAAAAGTTTTTGACATTCTTTCGTGATTAGATGGGAGGCAATATACTTTAATGTCGCATTTCAGGTAGGCCTACGGCTTACAATTGAATCGGTAATACGTAGGTAAGGAGTAATCGCACCTGTCCGATAAATCCACATCACAGGGGCATTTTGTTTCCCATCCATTACTAGGCACGTGTTTCATTTCCATGAATGATTCAACATTGTTAGGACTTTGTTTTTACGAGAAAAATCTTTCGTTTGTGGCATACCCATCTCTTGAGAGTGCTTTGTTGGCAAAACAGGTGTGTTATTATAATGTATGGTACAAACTACTCAAATGCAACAGGTCCGTTGGGAATTATGACAACGCTTAAATTTTACATTGAAAAGATTCTTTTACAGGAGAAGCAAACATCTACTGAGCATCCACAATTCATAATTCAAAATTATTCGTGCGTACCTGTGAATTAATGTATAATAGTATACAATTTTATTTTAAACAGAGAATAAGCAAACGCCAAACAAGTGAGAGCACTACTGCTGAGCCAGAACCAGAACCAGAAGGGAAACCTAAACCAAAACCAAAAGAACCGTCAAAACCAGCCGGTGGTAAAAAGAAGAAAAAGAAACCGAAAGCAAAGGCAGAAGCATGTCCTGCTCAATGTAAGAAATTTGGACTATAATAATAATAATAATAATAATAATAATAATAATAATAATAATAATAATAATAATAATAATAATAATAATAATAATAATTTGCATAGCGCCTCCCGTTGGACAAAAATAATAATAATAATAATAATAATAATAATAATAATAATAATAATAAATTCATAATGATGATGATGATGATGATGATGATGATGATGATGATAATAATAATAATAATAATAATAATAATAATAATAAAATGATCAAATAATGATTTCATTTGGTTTAAAAAAAAACAATAACATTAATGATAATTATAATGACTATGATGTAGATAAATATATGATGTTGATGGTGATAATGATCATGATGAAGACGATGATAATATTGAATGATGATGATAACGTTTATATGATTATAATGATAATAATAACGATATTTTTTATAATTATAGGTCCACCCGGAAAACCAGGGCGACCAGGAAGGACAGGGCCTCAGGGAATACAAGGAGAAATGGGTAAGAGGCGTTGCTTATTAGCATCATGCAGGGGGAGGATATTTAGGGGGCCGGGCCAGCCCACCCCACTACCCCCCCCCCCTTCGCTTTTGGAAAGTAAAAAAAAAAGACAGAAGGAAAAAGAAAAGAAAAAAGATGGCTCAAAACGCATCAGCGATTATTTTCGGACGTCTAGGAAACAAAAATTAATCAGGGGCCCCTATGGTGGTGCTATTTTTCTATCGGTCCCACTTTCGTCCCCCTTTCGCTCCCCAAACCACCACCCTTCGGACATCTCTGGATCCGCCCCTGATGTGGTTTCCTTCCTGGGATTTTCAATGACTAAGACCAATTGGATATTACTATTTGAAATAGATAAAGAAAGAAACCTGGTTAATGTGTCAAATTAGAAAAAAAAAAAAAAAAAAAACGCTTTACAATTTACAAGACCATTTCAAATCTGTGTTTTTTCTAACGTATTATTTCATCAAGACGATTTCTGGGCATTACAGAAGATATTCCAAGGGAGAACTGAGCAGGAGTTATTTCAAAATTTTAAAAAAGTTTCACGCTTGCAAATTCGTCAAACCTTGGATATCCTGCTATTGAGTGTCAGCTATACAAATGAAAAATACGGTACGCGCCGGATGTATATGTCACAGAGTATAAATAATCATTGTTAAATATTTCTCGTATTCTAAACTTGCGTGTGAAATCCTCGCAGTTAGTTAGGCGTGGCCGAGGCAGCCTCAAGTATTCAGAAATTAGTAGGGGCGAGGCAGTGCGACAGTTTCGGAATATAAGTTATCTAGAAGGGCTGGCACTCTCAAAACGAAAGAAGGTGTCTCGTGTGGCCTACCCCAATTTATTTATTTTCTTTTTATTTAGGTGCACAACACATGCACCAATGACTGTCAATAATAGCGAATATATCACTGTCCTACTTGTAGCTGACAATCCCTTACACAAGACAAACATACACGCACGATACTTTACACAAACTAAATCTCAATATGAGGTTTAGGGAGTGGAGTTGTTTGGTGGTGAGCAAAAAATTCCTGCAACATTGACAGGAATTGAACCCAGAACCCTGGAATTGGAAGGCAAGCATTTCAACCACCAAGCTATTCAACTCCACTAAACATTTTCATCCACCTTCGTATGCCGAATTTATCAAGCGTTTAACTAATATGCTATATTCACCTTCACTCAATTTACTCATTTATTCTTAATTTTAGTTATAATTTGTCATAATACGTCTATGATTGAAGCGGAATTTTGAAGACATTGTGAAGTTTGCTGCAGCATCAGACGGGCTAGATAAGACAAACTTGCAACTCATCGCGGATATATGTTACAACTCACTTTGCTCATCATCAATTTAATTATATCATAACATGATTGCAATGATTAAATTAGAACAGACGTAATCATAATACTAAATTATACAAGCGTCTGGATGTAATTACTCTGCAAAGTCGCTTAAACACTAGCTAGCCAATCAGAACTGAGATCATCCAGGCGTGACCCGAACATGCGCCTGTGGTGTGCTCTGCCCTCTGCAGTCTCCTCACATTTTAACCAGGTTGGTTCCCTGATGTGATCATTGCGATAACATTAAATAACGTCACGTGGCTATGAATACATTAATTTATAATAAATTAAACCACCTTTCTTATAGTATGGTATGTCCTATCTCACAATATATCGTCATACAGCAATAAACATTTAATACATAAACCGTAAAACATCTCCACAACATGATCCGTGATTTTTGTCGTCTAAGACTAGTTAACGAGTATGATGCCTATCATTCTGAGAATTAATTGAAATCGTTTCAGACATTCGTGCTCAAATTACTTCAAATTATGAAGATGGGACATACACACACATACCTATATCATGTGTATACTGTACGGTTTTTAACTTGATGTAAGCCCTTGATCTATCAAGACAACACATTATATAATTAGATAATTAACGATAATGAAGGCAACCTTCTAAACGACTTAATGTAATCGACGAGCTTCCGTTGCCTAGTCTAATCTGCCAAAAATTCGTTTTATCAACTGCATTTTGTCAGTTATATTTTTAAAGCTTTCACAGATCACATATATTTAGAGTTAGTGAAGAAATTTTCTTGACATTTTATTTCTCATATCACTAGGCCTAATTTGTAGGAAGGTTTATAGGCTTTTAACGAACCTCTCCGCTAAGCCCTGTCCCTGGGACGTTGTTGTGTCCCACAAAACAATAGTGTAAATGTACGTAAACGTTCGTTTATGGGATAACACGTGTGCTGCGTTAGTCCTGTTCTCTAATTGGTCAGTTATTAAGTTTTATAAACACTCCGAAAAGCTCCACCAATAATGTTTTTGGTCAAATCTGACCATCGTCACAATTTTTGAACAGGAAAAGCAGTCCGGGTTGACATTGAACAATTTGAAGCATTATAGACGCCGTACGGTAGTAATTTGTGTTCAGACAACCTAACAATCACAGATCAGTAGTTATTAAATAGGGCAACTCTTTTATAACGTACACAGAAAGGAGGTCAGTTAAATATAAATTTAGAATAAATCTCGGTTATTGTGTATGTCTGCTGACATTACAGGTCACTACGAAACAAGAGGTTTTTCGGAAAATAATTTGACGCTCCCTTTCTTTGCGCTCGCGGTGCAGCAGACTGGCTGCCAGGAAAGAGATCGTGTGCAAAATGAGAAACAAATTATAGACAATCTTTGGATTAAACTTATTATCAGTATAATGGTGTATGTTGACCCGAGTAAGAAGCAAAAATAGGCCTGTCTGATACTGTATCGGGGTATGTATTACATGGGTAGAGGCAATTGTCACGATCGGCGATGAAAATAGCTTAAACACATTCGTTCCGAATAATAGCATTCTCATTATCATCACGAATTTGACCTCGGAATACAAAGAGTATATTAGTCTGGCTAATGATATGGCGAATTATAAGGGAGTTGCCGTCACATATGAGAGCGCAAATTTTACCTGATGCAAAAAAAAAAACCATCAAAATCTTCCAGGGCTCGAACCTGTAATTACTTGCTGTCAGGACAAGTGTCATACCTTTAGACCATATAAGGACCTGGTATATATGAAGCTGATAATATAGATTTTATGGGGCTAATATTAGCTTGACCTAGCGGAATATATGTTTATCAAAATGTAAAGTGCTTGATAGCATTGTATTTTATTCTATATTCGAGCAGTTTCTATCATTTAGTTTTTATATTTCACAGTGCTACGCAACAACTGTGAACATTTGCTATAATATTATTATATTATTATAAGCGCCTAAAATCAAATCGTAACTTGCCACCGGAGCCATGTACTGTGCATGCAAACATTTTCATTTCACAAAATACCAAGTAAGAAAAAAAATCAGAAACAGAGACACATGCCTCGTGACATCAGGTCTGATTTTATTATTGACTATTTTTAAAGAGAAATAAGCAAAACCAATACACTTGTTGTAAGTCTATACTAAACGGAGCTACGTGCGTGTTTTAGATTATAATGTTTTATCGTGTTAAAAGTGGTCAATACTTGGTCAAAACAACAAATATTCATCTACCATGAGGGATGATCTGAAAATTGCAGGCAAAAACATTTTTATTCTTTAAGTCACTCATGGGAACTGCGTTATAAAGGCATGCGCCGCGTATTCCTTAATGTAAACTGAGTCACTATATCATCGTAGAAATAAATAGTGCGATTGTCCAAAGTAGATTCAAAAGGGATTGGTTTAAAGTGGTAAGAGAGGTTTTTGATAAGACTAAAAAATTAAGGCAGGGAGCAGCCGGATTTAGTTTTACAAATTATGGAATAAATCATTGAAACGTTATTTCGAAAGCACAAGTTTGGACTAACGCGTCACAATTATTATCAGACAAGATGTGGAAATTACATTAAATTTATCTCGAGGGATCGGACCACAACTTCATCTTTTGTAAGGTTTAGTACACATCTAAGTATGCCTTCTTCTATTTATAGTAGAATCAATATTGTATTTGTACCATTAATACGGGAACAATCTAGGAATGGGATTAATGGCGGGGGAGGTAGTCGTCTGCAAAACAAGTCAGTGTTAATTACATTAACCAAACACAACGTTTATAATTCATTTGAAATGAAAGGTATGGGTGACTAACCTATCTTTTGTCTCTTGTGACGTTATCGAATGCGCATTGTGAATCACAACCGAACTGGACATTGTAATTGTACTAGGTCAATTTGTCTGATATCTGGCGTCGGAACATAATATTTTAACATTTTAATTTTTTAAGAAGTAATTTTCCTCCTCAAACATCCTCACTAGAAGAATAATTTCCCTTACCAGACTCTAATCCCTCACCCCGACGAACTCCGTCCACTGCCTTACACATGTCTTACCTTCACTACGGTAAGGTAAGACATGAATGCAGTAAGACTTTTTTCACACTAGAGCGGAAAATGCAAGCAAAAATGAGTAGTGGCAGTTTTCGCATGTTTCGCATTTGCGTCTTTATTCTAGTGTAAAACAAACAAAAAGTTGCAGTAAGTCGTTGCTGTCTACAACGGGTAGACTGGATATAACATAATAAAAATACTTGTTTATAAAATATTGATATCATTTGGAAATAGACTGTCACTGGTAATAGTATTCAAAAAATGTGACATCCGCCTAAAATAGGCCAAAGCTGGTTGTGTTATAAAAGTGGCAGTTCATTACCCACGTGTTTCCACTGATTTTCGTACTATCACGTCTACTGTGAAGATAAAAAAAAAAGCTTAGGCGCTGGCTTCAATTCTATGCCCCCCCTGAATTCACCATTTTTACGACCAGAACAAGTCCACTCTCTTAATTCATCAATAATGAGACTTTATAGAGTAATAAGTATATGTCTGTCTTGTAGAAAAGATATAGCCTAATTAGTATATACAAAATATTATATGTGTTAAATACATATTAAAATAATGTACCTTTGTAATAATATCTTTGTGATCTTCTCTATTTCATACTGGTCTATTTGAAGCACGTCTCTCTCGCGACAACAACGCTCTCAAATACCAGACCGTACTGGGGATACATCGACGAACCCAGAAAAATTATCTGGGCTATATTGGCTGGCATTTGAACCTAATTTCAATTGGTTTAATTGTCTCATATCTTGAGAGAGTAAATATGCCTATCTGATCGAATAATTCCTATGGGATCAACCAATTATCCACATCCTTAATCACACCCAATCTTTGTCTGGACCTCAAATAATTATGTAATTGAATTAAAAAGCGGGACGATCTCTAACCAGACGATCGTCTGCAAGAAAACAGGAGGGATGATTTGAATCAAAATAATACGAAGAAGTCTGGTTCACGGGCTCGCTCACATAGGAGGTCATTCCGACCAGACGTCTATCTTTGTATATCCTCCTTGCATTGTAGCTAATATGAAATTATTCATAATTATAGAAATTTATGCCGGCCCTTTTGCCAACGGGTACAATGTGATGTTGTTACTCGGTCACTCAATCTAGGAATTGGCAAACCGGCACCAAGTAAAACAATAACCAGGGGCGAATGCTTAATTATGCTGCTTTACACAAAGGCTCAGGGGACCCGTGCTAGCCCCTAGGCCCATACCTTTTACGAGGTGATAGATTTTGTGTATGGATGTAGATGTTTCTTGTACAATAAACCAGATAGGCCTATACGAAATGTAAAGTTCTTCTTAAAACAAAAAAAAATATTTATTCGCGACATTCTGAAACCAAGGCTGCGTTTTATACCTACACACAATCATTTAAAATGATCAATTATGAAGCAAACACAGTGGTAAATGAAGAAACTTCTAATTCAAATGCATTTAATTTGGCATTTTAATAAAATTTATTCAATATTGTTTAAAGGTTTTCAAAACAAATTATTCGCAGCATTAATAACGGACATATAAAGTTATTGAAGTCTGCAAAGTAATTTCCTTTGCAAATTTTTCAATTTGAAAGAGACGGAAATCAGTTAACAATTATCTCCTCACCTTAAGGTTTCCTTTGAATGTGAGTATTGACAGAAAACCCAAGATATCGGCTGACGGCAGTACGTAATCTCCATAACTTGCGCTTATCTAACCTTAACTTAAACTCTACGGAAAAAAAAGATTGCCACATCATGCATAAATGTTGTGCTAACTGTGTGCATCAAAGCGTTTCCTATTTCATTTAATGATTTCTACAGACTAATACAACTGCTCAGGGGCGGATTTAGGGGCCGGCCCCCACCCCCCACTTTTTGGAAGGTAAAAAAAGAAAAAAAAAAGGAAAAAAGAAAGAAAAAAATGATAGCTCACAACGCCTCAAATGTTATTTTCGGGCGTCTAGAACACAACAATTTCGCGGGGGCATGCCCCCGGAACCCCTAGGACATTGTTGTCTCGATCGGCCCAAATTTCGGCCCCCCTTTTGGACATCTCTGGATCCACCCCTGCAGGTGGCGCACTTTGTTGTCGACATAAGGTTGCAATATGTTAATATATAATACGGACACTATATAGTTTTGATAATAAGCTAAATTAACTAAAACGGTCCATTTTAATGCCACATTTTTATTTACTCATCAATACTTACTCTAATTTTACAGGCTCAGCCGGAGCGACAGGAGAACCGGGAAAACGTGGTAGGCATTAGAGTCTCTGTGTATGATAGGCCTATAATAAGAAAAATGATAATGATAACGGTAATGATAATTATGATTATGATGAATGAAAACGATAATGATGATGATCTAATGGCGGAAATGATAGTAATAATCATAATATTGATAATAACAAATACACAGGTAGGTTTAATCAAATTAGACCGAATAATAAATAACATATATAGTATATTAGTAATATAATATGATTAATCTTAATGTATACAGTTGTACCTACAACTTATAATCTGATTGAATACACACAATTAATCAAATTATAATTCGTAGGTATCTATTATATTAATCGTAATATAATACGGTAGTCCTGCGACATATAGTTTGATTGGATATGTGTGTATAAATAGAACGTGTCGTCCTATTGGTTTTCATATAGGCCTAATCGCTTTCCCTATCGGTGACAGTCGCTGACAGTTGTCAGGAAGGTGAAACCTGGTTGAACTTTGCCGATTGCTTTGCATACAAATGGCGTTTCCGCTAAGCTCCGCCCCTTGGATATTGTTGGTAAGGTCCCACGAGACGGCAGTGTTAAATCATACGCGAACACGTGCGTTTGTGGGACAACACGTGTGTTTGTAAGACGCGCGCGCATTCCTAGCGCTGTTCTGATTAGTCGGTTGTTAAGTTTGATTGACACTCCGGAAAGGTCTATCGAATCAGGGTGCATTGCTAGCTGCCCTGACGCAATCTTGAAAGCACCCTGATTCGTCTGCAACGCAATTGGCAAAGTTAAGCCAGGTTCAACCCTCAGTCGCCGATAAGGTGAGCGATTCTATGGAAACCGAGCTTAATTGGGAAGTAAAATAACATTACTGATAAAATACAATTTTCTGATCGATTTTACATTTAAGGTGAACCCGGACCAGTAGGACCGGAAGGTCCACCCGGACCACGTGGTAAGTTTATTATTTTGTAAGTGTGGTATTTAATGGTTGGAGGTTTTGCTGACGGGAAGACGGGGGAAAAGGGTTGCCAAAACCCTTTATGAAACAACCTGGCAACAGGTGTGAGGAGGCTCGAACCACTCACCTCCTTGTTAAGCTCCCAGTAGTACCATCAGAGAATCACACAAGCAACAAAGTTATTGTAATTTATTAATATCGGTATTGCTGTATTTTTCCAGGATTTCTAGGAACACAGGGATCTGTGGGACCACCAGGAGCTCTCGGTAAGCAGACAGCATTTTCATAAACTTTAAAATATCTTATCTTAATTTGTCACATACAGCCGTTTTATTTTTAGCTCGGATGAGGAGCTCTAGTATACCCTGCTGATTGATTAATTAATAGATATTTTTGTATGGGCGGCCGTTAGGGCCGCTAAAATCACTCGGATGATTGATTGATTAATATATCTTTTTTGTATGGACACTTTCTAGAGTGTCAATCAAACAGAAAACTTTACCAATGCCATCGGGCGTATTCGACTGGTTTATTTCTTTGATTACGAATTTTTGTTGAGTATTATTTTCATTTGACTGGTTCGTAAAAGTCAAAAAATAAGTGTAGCCTATTAACAGAATTCAAGAACTGGATGAAAATATTCTTTTACAAAAAAAAATCTTGATTATGCAGCGTATATCGCGGTAACTATGCAACCATTTTGTTTTGTCGAGTAATTACCAGTTTTCTATTCGACTGGTCGTCTTCGTTAAGTAGGATTTTACCACTGCGCAGATGGGCGTGGTATAACGAAGAACGACCAGTCGATTACGGCCATCTATTGTCTTATTTAATTGCCAAAATGCGTGCATGTCCACAAACAACAATGTTCATGTCCGTTTACGCTTTTTAAGGTTCCACGTCTTAGCAATAATACCAAAGATGCGGGGCTTAATGGAAAGCTCTGGCAGGTCCTAATGCGCATCACATTATTACCCCAAACATCATTGAATAAAAGTCATGCTCAGCTCTCCGACGGTGGGGTGTTGTATAATAAGTGCATTGACATTCAACTCACTCCACCAGGTACCCACTTCGAAAAGACCATTTCGCTTTGCCCCACCCTTTTGATATTGTTGTTAAGTCCCCGCAAAAGAGAGCGTAAACGTACGTAAAACATGTGGGACATACGCGTATTCCTGGACCTGTTCTTATTGGTCAGATGTTAAGTTTGATTGACCGGAAAGATTGATTTTGATTTAGTGGCCACGCTTCAAATGTCTTCTCATTTTTAATTAAAAATCGAAAGCCTTCCGCCCTACATGTGACCACAATCATGTTTCATCTCATAATTATTACAAAAATTTATTAAATCAGATCAACATTATTACACGTTTTACTTTATTAGGACTTCCGGGATCAGCTGGTAAACCTGGTCCACCAGGGATGAAAGGTTAGTGGTTCCTATTTTGTAATTCTATTAGCTAGGCTTATTATATTCAGTGGTTGTAAAAACAAATGTGGAGGTGTGGTTAGGCCTAATGTGGTAGTGGTGGTAGCGGTGGTAACTGAGACCATGACGATAAAGATGGTTAAAAATGAGTGATTATGTTTGGAAATATGATAATAATGACACCAGATAACGATGGAGATAATGATATCACATAATTTTAAATCATGAACATATTAAAGTAAATTCTCCTTGTTTTATAACATAGGTATGTGCGCTAGTATTACTTTGACATTATTTGTTTACGATGGTCATATCATAAAAATTTGTTTTAAACGAAAATAAGAACTTTTGACGATGGGATTATGATTAAGTACGATGACTGATCAGTAAGCAGTCAAACTTATCAATTCAATTTGCTATCATAGGCTCGACAGGTGGCCGGGGAAGGCCTGGCGATCCCGGACCAGAGGGTAAGTAATGAATTCTTCTATGAAAATTAATAAACATGTTAGAAAATGTTATTGAAAGGTAGGATACATAATATGGCTAGATTATTTTATTATGCAACACAGTAATACATATTTTGATTTGTAATCTGAAATTATTTATTCGCTTCAATCATTGGGAATCATTAATTTGAAAAAATAGCAGAGTGACGTAATCTAATTGTTGTCATTTTCTAGGACAACCAGGACAAAATGGAGTTAACGGCTTACCGGGACCCCCAGGTATGTGTGTCATTGCGCTACAGTAGTGGGGACAGTGGTGGTGGTGATGGCAGTTGGGAAGCTAACTGTAACGACGTCGTCATTGTGGTGATAATGATGTTGATAATAAGGAGAATGAAGAATATGATAATGATAATGGTGACGATGATGATGAGGATGAGTGATGATATGCATAATTGATAATGATGGTGATGATGATTAGGGTGATGGTAATGGTAATGATTATGATGATGAAGATGAAAGTAATGGTCGGTAGTGGTGATAAATAATAATAATGAGAATCATGACAATTTTTAGAATGATAATGATGATGATAATGATGATAATGATGATAGTGGTGGTGGTGGTGGTGATAATGATGATGATAACGATGACTATGATGATGATTGATGCTGATGATAATGATAATGATGATGACGAAAAATATACAGTAATATTGGGACGATGGCGATGACAGTAATTAATGACCATGATACCAATATACTGATGACGATATTAGTCGTAGTAAAAATTATTGCTGCTGATGATAATCATTTACGCTTAACTTACACTTGTTTTGTGTTTTGTCTTGTAAGGTCCAAAGGGGGATAAAGGGGATGTTGGTAAGTAGTAAATCAACCAGAATGAATTATGCAAATACGTACTTTATACACACAAAAAAATAGACAGGTAATAATAACACTGACAATAGTAATTCAGTAAACAAAAAGATAATAATTAAATGATGATGGGAATTATAATTAGTAATAATAATTAACACATACGAACAATTAGAGATAGCGGCTTTAGATCGGGAGGGATGGCGGGAGTGATTGCTATGAACCTGCCAATTGGCAGATCACTCGATAATGATTATTATAATTAACAATACTAATAATAATAATAATATTAATAATAATAATAATAATAATAATACTGTAATAATAATACTGTAATAATGATACTGTAATAATAATAATAATAATAATAATAATAATAATAATAATAATAATATCGAATTTCATTCATGTTAAGCTAAAAACTTGGCAGATCACTCGATAATGATTATTATAATTACTAATACTAATACTACTAATAATGATTATGACGATAGAAATATTAAATCTATAACAAAATTAAGGAAAATAATAGTAATGATAATTATAATAATAATAGTGAAATAATAAATACACTACTACTACTACTACTACTACTACTTCTACTAATAATAGGCCTAATAATCATAATAATAATAATACTGTAATAATAATAATAATAATAATAATAATATAATATCGAATTTAATTCAAGTTAAGCTAAAAAATTAAACTTTATTAAAGTTTGTTTCATGTTCTTATGTTTTTGAATGATTGAACATCACTCCAAATATACAATTATTCTATTGTAATTAAACAAAAAATGTATATTCAGAATTGCCTAGCGGAATAATTTATGTCACTTAGGTCTAGCTAGTTTGCATTGGATAAGAATTTAAAGTAATTAATACATTTTTGGAGATACAATATACTGTGCAATAATAATAGTTATGTATTATTGGCTGTGCACTATATAGAATGCATAGGCCTAACTATAATAGATTCCAACAGAACATCTAAAACGTTTTCCGTACCCGCGCTCAAGTAAAGATTAGAACAATGTTTAAATGTTTTATTACTACAAAACATTTAAAGTATCTTGTTTATACCTGTTTTTTTATGAGCGCGGGTATGGTATACGGATTATCGGTCCATTCTTGACGGTTAGATGGTTAGATATAGGATTAGGCCTAGTATGTTCGTAACTAATGCCCTCTTATCTCATCTTTCCATTATTTAGGTAATCCTGGAAAACTCGGCTTGTAGAGCGTCAACTCAAAGCTTGGGCGGCGCTTTTCAAGAGCTGTAATTTTGGGAGTAATCAAGGAACATTATCGTGATAATGTTACGTTTCTAGGCAAATACAAGCGCCGTAATAGAGCTCAGCTGTGTGATTTAATATATTCTTTACACAAAAGTCAATCATAAATTAATGTTAAGAGCCATAATCTGAGTTATCACACTACTATATATTTTTATTTGGTGTTTAATATTTAGGCCTATTACAGAGACTTTAAAATCTACGAAAACAATAACGAATACCGTACTATTATGTCACAAATACGTCACATCATACAAATCATCGCCTTCTATGTAGTTTAAAATCAAAACATTTAAGGTTGGAACAATTTGGATACCAAAATGATCATTCAAATTTATTTTGTCCTTGACAACGAATTTTTCATACCATTGATTCTTGGAATAGAATAGATCAGCTGAAGAAAATTAAAATTGTTGACGTAACAGTATTATATATCGCTTACGTAAAGTCAGGTTTCCATAACATCGCTACATTGTTCCTCCATAGTTTTCACTGCATTCAATTCAGTATTCTTCGTAGCTGTCCCTTAAGAATCAGGAAGGCTGCAAACTTAATGACTATCGTGTTAATATTTGTGTTTATTATTTATGTATATTTAAAATATCATTCAACTTTATATTACTTAGATTCTTTACGATTCATTTCACAAATGTCGGTTAAAACTTAAAGTGTAGTCTGTAACTTTGACGGAACAAGAAGTTGCGGGCCATACGGCCAGTTGCGTACCTAGGGTTCGTGGAGAGAGGTAGACAGGAGGGCACATGCCCCCCTAAATTACTCCCCCAGTCACCTACCACTCCCTTCCCAAATGACGCTCAAGTAGTTAATTACCTTATTTTTCGAACTAGTGCCCTTTCCCACCTTACCCCACCCACCTCCTCTTAAGGCTACTAGATACACCACTGCACACGGCATGTTGTGAATAATAGGCAGTTTTCGCCGCATGACGTTAACATTAACGTTAACGGATGATGTCATTTTCGATTTCGATTTTACGTGCTCGACGCGTGTTAGTTACGGGGTTGCGCATGCGTATTTCGATTTGTTTACAAAATGGGCGGAGCTACCGCGCTGCATGTTGGGTACTAACGTTAAAGTTAAGGTTAACGTCGTGCGGCGAAACTACCTATTACGGCTTGATGTGGGCGACGTTATGTTGTGAGCCTTGTTTTGTAAGACACGCGGTGTGCCTCCACGCCAATTCCGGAACAGTTTGAATTTTAAAATTCACTTTCCTCATACTAAGTAATATGGTTCTATTATAAGACAAGTTTTACTTAAACACTAAATATTTGTATGCGATTTAATTACAGCGCGTGGGTATAATACCAAACGTTTATTTTGGCCTATAAGAGTGAGAATAATACTAGTAAAGGAAGATTGAATATTAAATAAAATTTTCTAAAACAATGCCAATTTTTGTTTTTGTGTTATGATGTCTGTCTTTTTAATTCTCTATGGAAGAAAAGAAGGACTTAAGACAAAACAGAAAACGATGGTGTGTGATGATGACGATAATGACCAATAAGGTGATGATGATCATTATGTTGTTGATGATGGTGATGAAGATGATAATGTTGACGATGATGATAATATAGATGATTATGTTGATGATGATGATGAGCGAGTCTAATGACCCAGCGGTTAAGGTAGAGGCATCACAACCTACACCCACAATATCTGTGTGGTTCGAACGGCAAGCTCGCGTGTGGTTCTCGGGTGACGGAACAAGTCTTCTCGGATAAGGATCACTATTATAGGCCCAGCCTACACAATCGACATGTCGACGACAAGGACGCGAAGCTCCGCCCACAAAGTCACGAAAGCCAATGACTGCTAGACTTACCGGGTTGGCGAAGATTTTCTTTGCTATCAACCTTCAGGGTAGGCAGTATGCAAATGAATCATATATTCATGGTGTTTCATAGAACATGGCGGGGAAATTGTTGTAAAAGCCTCTGTATTTCGCTCCCAAAGGAAGAGGGAAAAGCCGCATTCAGTCAACCTTGTTGTCGGCAAAGGCCAAGTCACTGATGCGCACTGCTCGTGTAAATCTGGGTATCTATCACCAAGCATAGACATTTAGGCCTATGCTCACGTACGTTTCGCGTTTAAACCAGCTGTCTTAAAGGAAATTAAAATGTTTTAATCACGTGACTAAATGACGCTCGTTGATTAGTCGGTTTATCTGTCAATCAAATTTCGTCGAGATGTTAATTGGCTGATGTGCTCTTAAAGCCCCATTCCCGGCAAAATTTCAATTTTTAAGAAAAATCTAATTTTTGTATAATCTTATAAAGATTTATAAATATAATACGGAATTGCTAGTTTAACTGAATTTAGACATTCCTAAGAATGAAAAAAATGTAAAATAAGACTGAAATTTGATTTTTTTTGTGTTCCACACAAAAAATAAATGCGGATGAATTTTTCATTTTGATTTTGCGATAGGTCGTGCGAAGAAATAACGTAGGCGCCGAAAACTTTAGCCTATCAAGCGCTGCTAGGCTAGGCCTAGCCTTACCTCGATTTAGGTTCTGTTATCACACATAAAAACGGCCGAAATGATATTTTCCGTTGCTAGTATTGACACTTGTGAAATATAATATTTCATAGGAATTATTTCAAATTTGTTAAAAAACTGATTCTGACTGAGATTTTGACACTTAAACAAACATCTCAGCCAAACCGAACGACCGCATTGTGCGAGATGCGAAGTACAAAACCTAATCTCATTAGAGAGGGCGCAGTTTATTGACTGTATAAAAGTATACATAAAAGTGAGAGTATTCCAGTGGATGCGATCTACAACCTCTGAATTTGCCTAGTAACGATGAATTCGTCGAGAAAATGGTAACATTTTATGAGAAATAGTCTGTGTTTCTCATTTTTTTAATTCTTTTGCGTAAAACTAAAATTCATGCCAATATTTTTCAATGATTTATAATAATTGGAGTAATGCAAATGCATATTTTCTAAAAAAAGTCAATTTTTAGTGAAATTTTGCCGGGAATGGGGCTTTAAAAGAACGCTGTAGGCCTACATCTATCGAGACGAGTAGGGGGTTGTCCCGGTGGACTGGTACGTACAGCCGCTGTTAACCTGCGCTTACGGACCATTGTCCTTTGCAGGATATGCCTAGGATATTATTAGAGGCATATTGGAAAATAAAGTATATTGTTGTATGTATTTCATTGTATTATTTGGTGGAAACAAAATAATTAAGACTTCTCCTTTACGGTTTTTAAACAAGAATAATGACAATAATTTTTTTTTTATTTTCTTTGAACATCAATAGATAAATCATAAAATAATATTACAAAATTTAAGCAGTCAAAGAAAAGGGGAAATCCCAGAAGCATGATGATTGTAAATGGAACACCCCATTACCAGATTAAAGGAATATGAATAAATGTTATAACATATGAAAAACAGTATTGCAGTTTAACAAAAACGATATTTTCTGTATTATTATAATAATGTTAGAGTCTTGTAAAGGATAACTATGTTTAATAATTATCTGTCCATCAATTTATAGAGAATTATTATATTTATATTGAACAAAACCTGACATAGTGAATTAAAATGCTTGATTGATGTTACATGGAATTTCTCCTATTATTTTAACATTATATCAATATTTTTGAATTGAAAACCTCTATAAAACGTATTATAATATATATATATATATAAATAATTGTATTAATACATTTATATTGTTAATATTACGAGTTAATATTTAAAACCTTCTATTCTATATTATACTAACATAATTATTGAATTTAAAAAATTTAAAACATTATATTCTATATTATAATAACATAACTATTCAATTCACTGCTCAAACATAATATTTTTTTGAAAACCTCTATTAAACTTATATATATATATAATGATTATATTAATATGTATTAATATGTTTATATTTCCATTATTATGAGTTAATATTTAAAACATTCTATTCTATATTATACTAGCATAATTATTCAATTTACTACTCAAATATATATATATATATAATGATTATATTAATATGTATTAATATGTTTATATTTCCATTATTATGAGTTTATATATTTAAAAACATTCTATTCTATATTATACTAGCATAATTATTCAATTTACTACTCAAATATATATATATATATATATAATGATTATATTAATATGTATTAATATGTTTATATTTCCATTATTATGAGTTAATATTTAAAAAAATTCTATTCTATATTATACTAGCATAATTATTCAATTTACTACTCAAATATAATATATTTTTTAATTGTTTCATATTATACATCAAATAGGTACATAATGTTATTCTTTAGTTAATCTATATTACTGTTTTATCAGAGGTTAAGATAAAATAAGATAACACCTTTATTAATTTTCTGGGGCTCCAGACTTTTGTTTTTGTGATTTTGTTGCTTTTGGTGCCACAACACACTTGTCTGATTAAATAAATGAAATGAAATGAAATCACGTTCGGGATATTCTTTGCTCGCATACAGGTATTACAATATAAAAATACTATATAATACAACTTATAGTCAATTTTGAGTACCATAATAGAATTATAAGGTACATTAAAATTACGACACATAACACCAATAATAAGCTTAACATAACCCTATTAATTATGATGTCTTATATTTAACAAAACTATTACAAAGTTAAAGCATTCATTATTATAAATTTATTTTGATTAATATTGAAAAATAAAATAATTGAGCATTTTGCTGAAAGAAATTTTGTTTATTATCCTAATGTGCCTTATTTAGATCTCTAATGATAAGAATGAAATTCAACTTAATAAGGATAAATTCAAAATTATTTAGATCTACGCCAAAAAAACAAAACAATTTAAAACATTTAAATGCTAAGAAAATGAACAACGGTTATAAGGTATACTACATATATTTTTGCTTTATGTCCGTTTCCTTATTGAGGCGATACAATTGAAACAGGAAACTATAAACATCTAATAATAAATTCCCTTTCTAGGTATTTATAAAGGCCAGGCAGAAAGTATTTGTGAGTTAATAACCAAAACCAGAGCCAGGTAAGTGGATAAGTCTTTATTGTTACCTTAAATACATTAGGATTTGCTGATGAACGGTTTTTATTTTTCATTTATGTTTTTTGTGTAGCTAGTCTAAGTACTACTTATATAAGAATGTAATACATTATTAACAGTGAACAAAAAGTGGTAATAAAGCAAACTTACTATAAAGGGGTGCATTTTATTTTAATTTTTAAATTTTTGCTCTGATTTTACCAGAAAAAGGCTATGTTTTCAATCTGATTTTTTTTCTTCTTCTTTCCCGTTTTTCTATGTTTTGCACAAGGTTTGCCTGACCGGAACTTTGGTCACTTTCCGTGCTTTGGTTTTCGTCAAACTTTGTACAAGCAAAGACTATATTATATCAAAGATGATTTTTAAAAATCGCCATTCTACATATTTTAAATGTTGATAAACTGTAATGTGAACGCAATTTGTGTTTTCTAAAGCGTTTTTAACTACAAGTATATTAAAACAAAATCGCCTTGAAATGCATAAACAATTTGCTCCCTCGATTTATAACATTACGCAAGGTAGACAAACAAAATACACACTCACCGCAGGGTCGGGGTCTTGAGGGTAATAGCAAGAACACACAACTACCATTGCAACCATAGTTCGAATCTCAGTCGCATTGACGTCGTATTGGTTCTCATGTATATTCTTTTAACTTGCACAGTTTTCTTTAGCATGATTTATTTTTTACTGTATACTTTCTTACTAATATTTTAAATTGTTAATTTGTACTATTAACATCACTTCTCATTATGGCAAAAACGAAAAACCATATGTTCTGTTTTGGTGTGTCTTGCGTTGTGTTTGGGTAATGTAAAGCGACATATAAATCTAACATTATATTATTACAAACAGACGAAGTAAATCTTGATTCATTCTTTTTTTCTTTATTTGGTTTCTTGAAATACAAACAAAAAATAAATAAATAAATAAAAAATAGAAAATAGACCAGGCCTATTACTATCCTCAAGAGCTCTGTCCTTCACACGGCACATGGCCCCTACACTCTTAATACTGTACTCCTAATTTAAAATAAATGTACCTCCTATTGTCTACGAAGACGCCTTATCTAAACGGGCCATTGAGGCGTCGTTTGGAGTTGTCACGTATTAAAATTGACATACGATTCATTTCAGTCATGGAAATGGAAAAAGGGAATACTACGGACGTAAAGAAAAGGCGTTCGAATGTAGGCCTACCCGACGGTCAGCGCGTGTTCAACGTGATCATCGCTGTCCTTGTTACGATGACTCTCATCAATCAGGGATATATGTTTTTTGAGATGAAAGCGAAGATTAAGTATTACGATGCTACGCTACAAAGCATTCAGGTTTGTGGGTTATATCGATTTAATAGGTGAAAATAAAGAAATCATCCAATGAGTAGAGTGTTTGAGGTCTATGTAAAAATAATAATGCTGACGATGATGATGATGATAATAATAATAATAATAAAAGTTACAGTACATTTAATAAACGATTATTATAATTACAATGTAATATAATAATAGGCTTATGTATTATAAATATTATTTAAGTTTGTTCCATTTTATTATTCTTAGGTCCCTAAGCGTATTATGAAGCGGGGAGTTGATTCAAGGTTAGATTCTCTATGTCCAATCCAATGTAAGTTTTAAAAAAGTGTCAATCAAACTCAGCATCTGCTCAATCACAACGGAGCTAGAAATACGCGCGTGTCCCACATACACATGTGGTTTCTCACAAACGCAGTGTGTACGAATGTTTTGTGGAACCATAGTAGTAATATTCAAGAGGCGGAGTTCAGCAAAAAGTACCGTCTATACAGAGCTTTCCGCTAAACCGCGTCCCTTGGATTTTGTTATTACGGTCCACATATACAGAGTAGGACTACGTAGGTGTAACATTGCGTTGTGTTTTGCAAGACGTTTTTCGTCTTGAATAAATTTTATGTTTATTATGTCAAGCGTTTCATATTGTATCTGCTTATATTTACATGTCAATACTACTACTACTACCTACTACTACCTACTACTACTACCTACTACCTACTACCTACCACCTACTACCTACTACCTACCACCTACTACCTACCACCTACTACCTACCACCTACTACCTACCACCTACTACCTAC